CTCTGTTCTGTCCCCTGTATTTACACTGTCTCTCTGTGCTGCCCCCTGTATTTACACTGTCTCTCTGTTCTGTCCCCTGTATTTACACTGTCTCTCTGTGCTGCCCCCTGTATTTACACTGTCTCTCTGTGCTGTCCCCTGTATTTACACTGTCTCTCTGTGCTGCCCCCTGTATTTACACTGTCTCTCTGTGCTGTCCCCTGTTTTTACACTGTCTCTCTGTGCTGTCCCCTGTTTTTACACTGTCTCTCTGTGCTGCCCCCTGTATTTACACTGTCTCTCTGTGCTGCCCCCTGTTTTTACACTGTCTCACTATGCTGTCCCCTGATTTTACACTGTCTCACTGTACTGTCCCCTATTTTAATGCTTTCTCACTGTGCCCTCCACTGTTTTTAAACTGTCTCACAGTTCAGTCCACTGTTTTTACACTGTATCATGGAGCTGTCTTGTGTTTTTACACTGTCTCACTGTGCTGTCCCCTGTTTTTACATTGTATCATGGTGCTGTCTCATGTTTTTACACTGTCTCACTGTTCTGTACCCTACTTTCACCCTGTTTCACTGTGTTGTCCTCTATACCTGCACTGTTTCTTTCTTCCTAGGCCCCATCAGTGGAGATAAAGATGACCTGGCTCACAGAGATCCGCAGAGTCCTCACCAACCAGCAGAAGCTCCTCACAGGTTCTCCTTGTCTGTTATGATGTCACACATACTGTATATTCTCACTTCCTCCCCCTGTTTTCAACCCTTCCTTCCGCCTCTTCCTTTCAGGCAGTCCCGTTTCAGAGCGGGGCCAGCTCTCCCCTCCCCTGTCCAGCAGGTGAGCATTAACATCAGCTGTGATCCTCAGTGCTCTGCTCTGAGGCTCTTCTGCCTCGTCACCCTTTGCTTTGCCCGATCTTGCTGTCCTGAGGTGCCACCAGATTCAAATGAACATGTTAAGAACAGGCTGCAGCACTGGTGGGAGGTTTATGTCATCAATTAAGTAGCATGTGGTTGTGAATGAGTCACCCAGGTGATGGAAGACTGAGCAAAACATGGTGAACCAGTGAATTATCCCGGGAGGTGGGGGGTGGAAGATATGATGGTGTGCAGCAGGTGTGCAGAGCAGCAGGTCTCTGGAGGAGCAGGTGTTTGGAGGAGCAGGTGTATGGAGGAGAAGATGCGTGGTGTACTAGATGTTCTTTGCATTGGTTTGTAGGTAGAAGCTCCTTATGTAAGGGCAGTCTATAAGTGCTGTGTGAGACACTCAGTATGACAGCCCTGATGGGCTACAGTGTCTGTCCCTCTAGCCCCAGTGAAGCTCTCTGACACAACCAGCAGACTTCCAGTATGGGACGAGACTCTGGTCTGATGGTGAACCCTTACCATACTTTGCTTTGAGAGCGCCCTACACTGCCTGCTGTCACTGTGACCCCCCTCCCCTTCCATGCCACCATAATTCCACCCACTCTCACCCCTGTCCCAACCGGACCCAATCCAGAAAACTCCAGAAATGCAGTATCCCCTGCCCTGGGCATGATACAGGTCTGCTGTGAACATGGCTGGTAAGATACAGCTCCCCTTTGACCAGTGTGAGCCGATCCTAGACAGTAACCAATTAGCAGTGAGCTGACAGGTCACCTTCTCAATGTGACAGACACGTGAGAAACCCGGCCAGACGAGACCTCAAACTGTGACGCTCCTGGTAAACGTAGCCCTGTGTCATGCTACTTCGGGGCACCGACTCCACGCTCAGCGCATGTTCTTCCCTGCAGCCCCCTGCAGAGGACGTCACCGAGCTCCGAGGAGGCGGAGTCTCGCCAAGCAAGCCCAGTGCCGGTGGAGCTGGCCGGGTCCCCACCTCGGCGGCACCGGCATCGTCGCAGTGAGTCCAGTGCCAGCCACAGTATCCTGTCATTTTACTATCAGCAAGAATGTATCAGCTTAGATAATAATGTGCTAGAAAGGTGTAAAAACTGAATGGAGCAGACAGGTGGCGCTCTCTGTCCCTGTCCTTCAGGCTGGCCTGGTGCTTCGAACAGCGCAGACGTCTGCGAAGACCTGGATGAATGGAGCGCAGCCAGCAACCTCTCGGTGCTGTCAGACACAGAGGAGGAGGACCAGGGCTTGCTGGTGAGGGGCTACTAGGGGCTGCTGGGAAGTGAAGTCCTTTTTTTGAGTGCGGCTGTCGTCATGTGCCTACTGCACTCGAGTTTTGACATGGGGGTAGTTTTGATAGTTTAGAGCCATCAGCCAATAGCATTCGTCGACAGAAACGGCCATGAGCCCGCCCCCAAACTATCAAAACCATCCCCATGTCAACACTCCAGCGCAAATATTTCACTTGAACGTGGATAACAGCCAAAGGTGATCCATTCAGTGGGGGATAGCTATCAAAATCAAGAAGGGAAAAAAAACATTTGGAAAAAAGACAGTTTGAGCATGATATTGAATTGAATTGATTTGAATTCCCTTATTATTGTACACAGTACAATGAAATTCAATGTGCAACTCCTCCATATAAAATTATTAAAAAGTATGATAAAACATACAATATGAAGACATAAATATAATGTACATAGTGCAAATGGTTCATAAAATGGCTCAGGTTTTGCAATGTTATGGTTGTAGTGCAAAGTTTACAGTGAGGTAATTGTCAGTACAAACAGATCTACCAGGGGCACTCACGAGTGGCGTACTTCAGAACGTGAAATGTTTAAACCAGGGGTCTCCAACTCCGGTCCTGGAGAGCTACTATCCAGTAAATTTTCTGTCCTACCTGGCTTCTGATGAGCCACACTAGTTCTCAGGTAAATACCAGCAACAGGTGTGGCTCATCAGAAGCCAGGTAGGATAGAAAAGCAGGTTCATATTTTTCATGTTGTGTTTTATCGCCCTCTAGTGATGACATTGATGTGATGCCACACTTGCCAGGTGGGAGAGTTGTTAGGCTCTGATTCTTTGGCCATGTTTGCAGCACTTTAGCCTGAATGCTAATGTGCTGTTGAACATTTCTCTCCTTCCCCATATTGCAGTTATTTTAAATGATGTTTTTTTTCTGGCAAACATTTTAAATGACATATCTGCACTGTGATTGGACAAAAAGCTGTTGGAGACTCGCTACCTAGGACTTCAATGTGTCCATGTGGCTCCATGTTGGATTAATGTGCTGAGCCTCCCATGAGCATCTGGCTGGCATCTGGCTGGCATCTGGCTGTCCTGTCATTCCAGTGCCGGTCCAGGGGGTCAGAGTCCCCACAGAGCTCCCCTCCTGGCCCCACTCACGCTGCTGCTGTTGTCCTGCCAGCTCCCAGGCAGGTACAGGGCCCAGATGGACTCTCAGAGGAGTGAAAACCAGAGTCTGCTGGTCAAAAGTGGTGACATCATTCAGCTGCTGCAGGAAGACAGTGAGGGCTGGTGGTGAGTACTATGGCATTATGGGTACACGGGGCAGTCTTCAGGAGGACTCTCCCATGACTTTTTTCTTGTTGATTTTTTTCTTTCAGGCTTGTGAAGAATTTAAGTCGCAAACTAGCAGGCCACCTTCCAGTGAGTCACGTTCATGTCATTCTGGGCCTGGCCAGCAGGGGGCAGTGCAGCAGGCTGACTGGTAATACTGTATAGGAATTCTATTTTTTTTTTCCTTTCCTGTGCTTTTTTCTTAATTTATAAATTCCTGTTTTGATTTGTGTCCTTGTGCTTTTGCTTTGCCACACCCTTAGACCGAGGAAATGTCAAGGTCAGAAAGCTGAGCTCCCCCTGAAGGCCCAGCCACGCCCCCCCCGTCACCCATCTGCTCCACCCACGCTGCCCCGACACGTGCTGCCTATGAACCCCTGCCAATACCCTGATACTTGATCATTGGTTGGAAGACCGTGTGGGCGGGACTGTATTGCTAAGATAGCCTGGCTGACAGGTTCAGGAAGAACGTTCTGATGGTCTGAACAGGCGTTTCTGGAAGTAAAAGTGGGATCTGCTTACAGCAGTGGACCTGAACTGAGGACGGAGGATTCCCATCTATCATGACAGCTCCTGCTGACGTCTGTAGATGTGTGGCGCCCATGCCAGGCCACGCCCTTAAGCAGAAGCTCCCTGCCATGAATGTGGGCACCTGCTGCAGTCCCACATGCGACTCTTACTCTCAAACAGCTCCTAACCACCATCTAGCTAAAATTAGGATTTTGAGGGCTTTTCGTATCCCGGATCCTCTGCCTGTCCTATAACAAGCAACGTGAGCAGGTCACTCAGAAGAGACATGAATGCCAATTTAGTAGATTTACAATTAATTAAAAATATTCCATCTATTTTTTTATGTGGAAGAATGTCATCATATATACTGATATGAACAGAGGTTTTATAATGAGAAAGAATATCTGTCTGTCTGTCGCTCGCTCTGCCTCACACATTATATTTGTTTACATCTGTTTACATTTATGTTTATAGCTGTCTGTCACTCTGCTTACATGTGTGTCAGTGTCTGTGATTGTCAGTGTCTGTCTCTGTCTGTCTGTCAAGGTTGGTCTCTGTCTCTGCCAGTGTATGTCTCTGTCTGTCAGTGTCTATCTGTCTGTCTGCCCATCCGTCTCACTGTCTCTCTGCATACTGTGTCTGCTCATTTTCTGTCTGTCTCATCTGACTGCTATCTTATAAATATGAGGGTACTGAGGTTCCAGCATACTCTGCAGACCATAATATTCCGGGGGTGATATTTCAGTTCTAATTATTTTCCCATGTGACACTGGCCCTGTGCTGTCATGCTTTAGGGAACCTAGATTCACCACAAGGGCACTATTTACTATACAATGGCCTTTCCTCACCAAAATGCTCACAAATGCTTTGCACTGATATTAACATGTGAAGCGATGGCTTCTTTGAATGTAAATTTTGTAGGAAACACCTCAGCCATGTGCAGCTTTGGGGCCGTCGGTATTCCGGCGGGTGACACCACATGGGAAGCTTGTAAGGAGCATGCAGATGGTAGCTTCAGTCAGACTTTTATTTTAAACAGTCAGATTTTATTTATTAAAATTAATTTCTACAAGCAAGTTTGTCCAAAAGATCTTTATGGCAATTTATGATTTCCTCACAGAAATCAAAAAATCTGAAGAGGAGAAAAATGGGTCCATAAAATGTACAAAATGACGTGTCTTTCACGGACCCTCAGTCCAGTGTGTTCCACGCAATCACTGGGGTCAGCGCACGGCCCTGCAATGTCCCTCTGCTAACAGGACCAGGCCTGAAACTGGGAGCCTCATGTTTTCACTCCCACATGGTGATGAGCCTTGTGGGATAAACCCAGAGATGCGTGGTCACGCTCCATCAGTCACTGTCTTATTTCAGTCATGTTAAAGCATTACCCCTGTTACAAATCAAATGTAATTTAAAAAAAATAATAAAAGTATAAAATACTTTTCATGCTGTGTTAAAACCATAGCGCTTACAGATCCCGGCAGGGGCAGTCCAAGGCATAAGCGATCTTAGCAGCTGCTAAGGGCCCAGCAGCCACCAGGGGGCACCCAAACTGATCAGCAAGTCTGGGTGCAAGGGAAGATGTCTAGGTTAATCAAGAGTTGCTTAGGACGTTGAATAGGGTTGGGCTGTCCCTTTGTACACAGGTGAGTAAGTTCAGATGTGTCCCCCCCTTAAAGGGTGGGGTCAGAGCCTTAGTGGGGTAGCAGGGGAGTCCTGAAGCCCCATGACCTGAGCGATCCAGGGGTAGTAGTAGGAGACGCGCGTGTAGACACCATACTTTCCCTCAGCGGCACATTCCTCGCCCCAGCTGACGATGCCGGTGAGGAACCAGGTGCTGCCCCTCCTACTAGCATACGGCCCCCCGCTGTCGCCCTGGCACGCATCTTTGGGCTCGTCAGCGTAGCCGGCGCAGAACATCTGCCGCGTGATGCGCTCACTGCTGCTGGCCTTGCACTGCGTGCGTTCCACGAACGGCAGGTCCACCTTACGCAGGACCGGAGATGTGGCCCCGCCATACTTCAGCCGGCCCCAGCCGCTCACCCGGCCTCTGGGGGCGCCTTCCTGCAGGAGCCACTCCGTGAATGCCTGGGGCCCCAGGCAGATGGGCCTGACTGCCTCCGTGAGCTGGATGGGCGTGTGCGTACGCAACAGTGCGATGTCATGCTTGTAGCGGCTCACGGCGGCGTCGTACTGCGGGTACAGGTGCCGCTCTGAGACCTCCACGTCCTGCTCAGTTCCGTCCCGCTTCTTCACGTTGTGCTCCCCTGCAAGGGGTGATAAATAACAAGGGTAAACTGCCCAGCTCCACCTGGAGATCTTCAGTAGGCAGTGATGGACTGGAGCTACAGAGGTGGGGTATGTTGGCAGGGATCCCACCTGCTCTGATGAAGAAGGGCCCCATTTCCTCTGACAGACAGTGGGCCGCTGTCACCACCCATCTTATGCTCAGGATAGAGCCCCCGCAGAAGACTGTCAGGGTTTCCTGGTCAACCAGCGCCACCTAGTGGGGGAAGCAGATAGATTCGTCTGCGTTGGGAAATACACTTTTGCTTAAACGCTCAGTCTGTGCCCCACTCTCTCCCCTACCTGCCAGGGAATTTCCCCGGGGGTCACCTCATAGCCCCCCACGATACGTGTCCTAACAGAATCTGTGTCCTGTTCTGTCGATGTGGGCAGCTCTCCCTGGATCTCAGGTGTGGGTTTGTTGCCCACAACAGTTGGTCTGTTGAAAGTGAGAATGGTTTTGTTGCCTATAGGTGTGGGCTTGTTGACCACAGGTGCAGCTTTGCCAGCCACAGAGGTGGGGTTACCAACCACATTGGGGGGACTGCCGGCTACAAGGGCTGGGTTACCGACCATAGGGGCGTGGTTAACTGCCCCAGGGGCGGGGTTACCGGCCACAGGGGTGTGATTGCCGGCCACAGGGGCGGGGTTACCGACAACGGGGGCGTGGTTAACGGCTCCAGGGGCGGGGTTATCGACCAAAAGGGCGGGGCTGCTGGCCACAAGGGCAGGTTTGCCGGCCACAGGGGCGGGGTTACCGACAACAGGGGCGTGGTTAACGGCCCCAGGGGCGGGGTTATCGACCACAAGGGTGGGACTGCTGGCCACAAGGGCAGGTTTGCCAGCCACAGGGTCGAGTTTTCTGAACCCAGGGGGTGGGCTGCTGGCTACTGGGGCCAGTTTGCCAACCACAGGGACGGGTTTGACAACCAAAGGGGCAGGTTTGCCACCCACAGGGGCAGGTTTTATGACCACAGGGCCGGGTTTGTTTCCTGCGTTGATGGCACCACGGGTTGTGTTAGGCTGCTGCGCTGGCTGAACACCATCTTGGGTTTTCACAGTCTGGCTGTTCATGGTGGCCGTCACTGCCATTCCAAGTGTGCCACATGGCACTTCACCTGACAGATAACAAGAAATTTCGTTTTGTAGGGGACCATGCTCCTGGATGTGGCATTAGCATGCTCTGAAGTCCTCAATTCAATTCAAGACAGGTGTGCAGAGGAGGTCACTGTGTTTGCATCAGAAGGCTGCAAGTCCTGAAATAGGCCATGGGCACAGGTTTCAGTCAGGCTCCTTGACCTCATCACCACCTGCTGACAAAAAGCATGATGGGAAAGGAGGCAAAAGGGCACCTTTGGGCTCACAGGTAGCTCCATCCTGGCCAAGCTGGTACCCGACTGCACAGGTGCAGGTCGTGCCTCCGGTCACGTCTATGCAGAAGTGTGTGCAACCACCATTGTTCACATTGCACTTCCTCACCATACCTGCAGGACCAACGACAGTCATATTCTCCTGATGACAGCTTGATGCCAGTGTGATGCCCCTCAGCCCCAGCGCTGGCACTCACTGATCTCACAGTTTGTGCCCATGAACCCCGCCTGACATGAGCAGGTGTAGGAGCTCACGCCGTCTACACACTGGCCTGCATTCCGGCAGGGCGAGGACTGACACTGGTCACCATCTGAAAGACAAGTCAACCAGCTCAAAGATACCCTGCAGTCAGGTCACAGACTGATACAAACACACTGCATTCAGTTCTCAGACCAATACAAACACTGCAGTCAGCTCCCAGACTGATACAGACACACTGCGCTGAGTTCAAAGACTGACACACTGCAGTCAGCTCACAGACTGATACAAACACACTGCATTCAGTTCACAGACTGATACAGTCACACTGGATTCAATTCTCAGACTAATACAAACACTGCAGTCAGCTCAAAGACTGATACAGACACACTGTGTTCAGCTCACAGACTGATACAGACACTGTGTTCAGTTCACAGACTGATACAGACACTGCATTCAGCTCACAGACTAGTACAGACAAACTATGGTCAGCTCATAGACTGGTACAGACACATTGCGGTCAGTTCACAGACTGATACAGACACACTGTGTTCAGCTCACAGACTGATACAGACACACTGTGGTCAGTTCACAGACTGATACAGACAAACTGCGGTCAGCTCACAGACTGATACAAACACATTACGTTCAGCTCACAGACTGAAATCAAACACATTGCAGTCAGCTCACAGACTGAAATCAGTCACTCTGAGGTCAGTTCACAGTTTGAAATCAGACACTGCGGTCAGTTCACAGACTGAAATCAGACACACTGCGGTCAGCTCACAGACTGAAATCAGACACACAGTGTGACACATGGAAACACTGCAGTCAATATGCTAGTGGTGAAATTGTCGCTGCATAAACGCTCACCTTTGTACTTTGCCCAGAATTCCATCTGAAAAACCAAATGCAAACACACTGGTTACTAACACGCAGCAGACAGATGAGCACAGGATCCCCAAGTCCCCCCCCCACTGGTGCGGGTCGATCTCTGCTTAGTGCTTAGAGTCCAGCTGAGCTGTTAACTGAGTTATATTTGGTTATTAGGATTTAAGTCACATAAATCAAACTGTAGGAGTCAGAATACTTTGATTTTCTGATTGACTTAATCTGTTTTTGTAAAGGCATATGGTGGAAAAAATTCAGATGTTCACGCTCAGAAAAAAGGGTAAAAATGTGCACCTTTGCATGTCACTAAGGGTTCCTTTAAATCAGAGCTAGAAGTGGACTCTGAGGAACATTTCTGTACCACTGAGGGTACATTAACACTGTTTGTACCTTTGGGATGTTCCTCAGAGTCCATTTCTGTACCCTAAAAGGTACAATTACAAGGGTACACCCTCAGTGACATGCAAAGGTACAAATTTTTACCCTTTTTTCTGAGAGTGTTCCTGTTTCTGCTCCATCAGTTTCCCGCTACTGTGTGCTGGGTGGATTGGGTCTTAGGAAAGACTCCTGAGGAACAGAAATCCTCAGGAGGTTAGTGTAGTATGCTACAGTCCTGCCAGCGCACCCCCCACCTCCCACAGATGAGTATGGCTAGTGTTTTCCGGTGTGCCCACCGTTTTCTCCTCGTTCTCGAAGACCTCCCGCGCCTCCTCCCAGCTGCAGCGCTCCTCCATACACTCCCGCTCCAGGTTGCCCTTCCGAAGCTCCTCCAGAGCTCCCGTGTTGAAACGTCGCTGCCTCCTCAGCACAGAGTTTGCTTCATCCTGAGGCAGGAGCCCCACAGCTGGACCAGTGAGAGAGGGGGAATGACAGAACCCACACTTTCAGCATGATGGGATATGGACCTCTGACACAGTTTGGTTCTTCCATGGATCATAATATAGAATTCTTCTGCAGGTTCTAAAATGGGTCCTGTTTGATTTCAGGGTCCCAACTGTAACACAAGGGCTTTTGAGATAAGTGCAGGACAATAAGAGTGAGTGTAGACAGCAGTGCTATGACCCATATCCCTGTTCCGCTGGTCTTTTGAGCAAAGGACTTAACCTGGATTGCTTCACTAAAATATCCAGCTGTGAAATGCAGTAAAAATAGTTAGTTGCTTAGGATAACCGGCTGGGAGGATGGCGGGTGGGGGAGGGACGTACCTGCACAGCTCAGCCAGAAGATTTGCAGGGAGAAGCAGGCTATGAGGAGAAGATCCACTCGCAACATCCTGCAAGCCGGGGGAGCTGAAATGTGTCCTGCTGTTGTGGCTCCAAAGTGCACCCCATACGTTTTTGTGTTTATACTGGACAGAGGTCATTGTGGAGAAGTGAAGGGGGGGGGGCATCCTCAATCAGCTGTCCATCTCTCAGCTGGACTTTATGCATAGGTGTGAAGTAGCTTCTAAAAATCTTCAGCTCTGTGCAGGGGTCCTGTTGACAGTTTTAGTGTCTCTCGTACATCTGCCTTCACTTTGCAGGTTTTAGAAGAAATGTTTTTTCCCAGTTGCTGCAGTTGGGCAACGAGTAAATATTGACATTAGGTGTCCTTTTGTCAGAATAAACGGAGATGATGTCAATATGCCCAGCAAAATCCAGGAAACTGAATGATTCAGAGGTTCTGTTGACCAGTCGTTTCCCCTTCATGGCTATTATTATCTGCAACGGTGATATTAATACCTTCAATCCAGGGACAGGGGGGCAGACTGGCTGCGGCAAGAGCACCCCCTGCTGGTGTGTGCTGGGTGAACTGGGTGAACCTGTTTTAAGTACTTTTGAATCCTGTGTGTCCTCTATTGGCAGGTGGTGTAGCAGATACTGAAGTAGCAGTGTAAGCGCCATTTATGTAGAATGGTGTATTTTCTGTTTAAGTAAATGGTTAGAATATTTTTTGTTGAACCTGCCATTACAATTTGAGTTTTATGTAACGTATCGTACAAGAAAGTGCCTCTCTGGCTAATTTTTTAGTTTGCGGCTGCTGTAAATTTAACATAGATAAATATAAGGTAAACCATGTAGGGAGCAGAAATATAAAGTACACATATTTTATGGGTTCCACTGAAATAAAGGAAGCTGATTATGAGAAAGATCTTGGTGTGTATGTTGATGCTTCCATATCCCACTCTCACCAGTGTGGAGAAGCAATAAAAAAGGCCAATAGGATGTTGGGTTACATCTCTAGGTGTGTGGAGTTTAAGTCAAGGGAGGTGATGTTACGTTTATATAATTCCTTGGTAAGACCCCACCTAGAATATTGTGTGCAGGTTTGGTCACCTTACCTTAAAAAGGACATTGCTACCTTGGAAAGGGTTCACCGTAGGGCTACAAGAATGATACCTGGTCTTAGAGGAATGTTTTATGAGGAGAGGTTAGCAGAGCTGAATCTGTTCAGCCTCAAGCAAAGGAGATTAAGGGGGGACATGATCCAGGTCTATAAGATTCTAACGGGTCTGGATGCTGTTCAGCCAAATGACTACTTCAATATTAGTTGAAATACTAGAACTCATGGCCATAAGTGGAAATTAATGGGAGAACATTTTAAAATGAATTTGAGAAAGCACTTCTTTACACAGCGTGTAGTTAGAGTATGGAATAGTCTTCCTGTTAGTGTAGCGCAAGCTAAAACCCTGGGTTCCTTTAAATCAGAGCTAGATAAGATTTTAACAACTCTGAGCTATTAGTTAAGTTCTCCCCAAACGAGCTTGATGGGCCAAATGGCCTCCTCTCATTTGTAGATTTCTTATGTTCTTATGTTCTTATATACAGTATATGCCTTGGATCTCTGTGAGTCCTGTGCGTTCAATGTACACATTGGATCTCTGTGTGAGTCCTGTTTGTTCTTTGTACCTGCTGACACTCTGCATGAGTCTTGTGTAAGTCATGTGTTCTCTGTATGCACTGGATCTCTGTGTGAGTCCTGTGTGTTCTTTGCATGCACTGGATCTCTGTGTGAGTCCTGTGTGTTCTCTGCATGCACTGGATCTCTGTGTGAGTCCTGTGTGTTCTCTGCATGCACTGGATCTCTGTGTGAGTCCTGTATGTTCTTTGCATGCACTGGATCCCTGTGTGAGTCCTGTGACTTCTCTGTATGCACTGCATCTCTCGGAGAGTCCTGTGTGTTCCCCGTACACAATGGATCTCTGTGTGAGTCCTACACCCACTACATCTGTTCCGTTTCACCTTGCATTTGTCGATGGATGTTGGTATTATACTAAATGTTTCCACACACAGGAGGTAGCTGCTTCTCTAAGGCTATTCTCCCCCTCTGCTGTGACCTCTGTGTTTTCCCCAACGGCCTCCTGCCCCCACCCCACTCTTTTGTTGTCTTATCACACCTTGACCCCTTTATCCCGTGTGTTTGAGTAGATAGACCCCATGTAGCAGAGGTGACATGGTAAAGACACTGTACAATGAGGCCAATCTCTCCAAAAATCCTGCATATGTTCCTGTGTGTATACAGTGTGTTTGCCACTGGACTGTGGGCTGGTGTAATGCCACGCAGGAAATGATTAGTCATGATAAGGAGCCGGATCTGCATGATGTCAGCTGGGGGCTCTCCTCCCAGTGGTAGGTCCTATTTCCAGTCTAATTTCATTTACAGCCTCCCTAATGGCATTTCCCTCAGACCTGCATTTCATCTCACTTGCTGCCGTTCAGCTAACATGACCACAGAGACACGGGCTGCAGCCCCACCTGTCCCCGTATCGGTGAGCTTCGAACCGCCAGCAGTGTGTAACACTGGCCCAGAGCCCCTCAGCGTCGTGCCGTACGGAGCAGGAAGGCAGAGCTCCTGCGGTCACCCGTCATGCTAGCGCTCCTTTACTGACGAAGGCCTGGCGCTTCCGCCGTCAGCCAGCGTGATGTCTTTAAGACCCCATTTCACTCAGATAGAATTACCACCTAAATTAGGACATTTTTCCAGGCAACGTGAAGTCATCTGTCTAAGACGCTTTTCACAAAGTGATAATTACAAATGCACAGAGATACACATTACACCTGGCAATATATTAATATCAAGGGTCTAAGACTGAGTAGGGCCCCCCTGATACGGGGTAGGCCCCCCGCTAACCGTAGCCCTAAAATGGGGAGGTCAGCTTCAGTCCTACTTGCAACCACGTGTAGTGGAACATAAAGAAAAATCTGTTCCTTGATGGATGGAAATCTATTTCATGCTTTGAGTCACAGAACGTCCCATAAAAGCTGAGGGATGTTTAGATGATTGGCCTTTGATTGGTGAGGCCATGGCAGGCATCTGACTTCACCTTAGTGCTCATGAAACCTCGTGACTTTGTTCACTCTGGTGGCTGTTTCCCTACCATAAGGGAACAGTATCAGGCTGCTGCTGCTGCTGCAAAATGGCCTCTCCTGGGCTTTATACCACCTTGCAGAGCAATCATAAGATCTAATGCTTCCCACAAGAGGGCTGGGCTGCCCACGCCACCAGACACTGTGGGTTGAAGGTATCCTTTGTCTTTCTTCAAAATTAAGCCCATCGAGACACAGGAAAAAGGGAGAAATATGAATCAGCAGCCATCATAGTGTTTTTCCATTGCTGAGGGAATCTTGTTGAAATGAGTCATAGAGTCATAGAGCTGCTGATTCAGTTCTGAGTTAATTTTGAGGTTGTAACTTTCTTGTGTTTAGCTACTACCTCGCTAGGTGTCTGTCGATCCCTGTCTGTCATCAAGGCCATTAGAAATGGGGGGGTGGGGGGTCAAGGGGGACATATTCCCCCCAGAATTGGCAGATGCCTCCCCCCCCCTTTCTTCCCAAAAATTGATCACGAACATATATCTATTCAAGGCTGAATGATATCGGGGGGAGAAAATCAAATTGCGATATTTTTGGGTTTTGCAATAACCATTCATAACGGCGCCTTTTGCTGCTGGATACACTTTCATCATGATATACACGAAACAGAAAACTAAGAGGACATTCCTTACCTTTCATTGTGAGTCCGTGTGTCACCGAGGACAATGGGACGTGTGTCCCTGTGCATGCAGAACGTGAGGATGAAACATAGACCAAACGCAGAGTGTAGTCCTTTGTCTGACAAACTCATTTTATCATATGCATCAGTTTGTTTTTAGTTATGTTTGGCTGTGAAACTGCAGCCAAAACTGTCTTATTTTAAATTATCTTTATTATTTTTAAATCTTTCTTACATCACATTCTTTCACAATGTGACTATTGCGTAAGTACCCACTGTGATGTTGCCATGCCCTCCCCCCATCCCAAAAACTTTTTCGGACGTCACTGTCTCTGATATTATGTCCACTGTCCTTTTAGTTGACGTAGTTCGTCCATGTTCGGCAGATTCCGTTATGATTTTTGAGGCTCTTCCCCTTGATACATTAAATAATGAAGCGTTTTGACTGGTGTGTGATTCTGTATCATATCAAATATTGGTATTTATTCAATCATGTTTCATCCATTTCCCTTCCTACAGTAGCAGCTCCACGTGGTTCAGCTTCTCCCTTGTATTTTTTGGTATCTTCTTATTCTTATTGTAATGCAGTTATCACAGATATAACAGTCACAGATACCACAGTCATAGATATCACATTGTTTGCTCTTTTTGCACTGTCCTTTGATCTTTTCACAAACACACCTTTTGCTATACACATGCTTTGGATAAGACAAGGCAAGACAAGATAAGATACAATGGACTTTGTTGATCCCAGGGGGAAATTTTGCTGCATACAGAATAATGACAATAGTGCAATAGTATAGTATATTGTAACGACAATAAAGTTGAATTGAATTTGACCATCAAGTACTCCAGGTCAGGAAGGCAGTGTAGAGATATTATATCCACAACATTGGTTATGAGGAAGTTTACACCATTTGCTGTCTAATTGTGATCCATACAAACAGAGACACCTGGCTGGATTGCAGAGCTCCAGATGTTTCCATGAAGCAGCGATTCCACATGTGTCTTTGGGATTTCACACTTCCTTTCCCTAAACAAGATGGCCAACATTCTCCCCTGATATATGTGGCACAGTAGGTTAGGCCTCTGGGCTTTTAATCTAAAGGTTACTGGCTTGAATCCCATCCTCACTAGGAAAGTTGTGTCTCTCTTGGGTCTTTGAGCAAGATCCCCAACCCTCTGAAATACTCCAGGAGTGCTGGGTAAATGACCTGACCCTTTACCACAGAGGTGGAAGTTTCAGGTCCAAAAAGTAAAAATCCAGACCATGATTTTGTTTCTGCCAACCAGTTGAACATTCTGTGAATGTCAATGTTTAT